ATTTGTACAATACTACAATATTTACTCATGAATTGACACTACAAAAAAAAATACGAGATTGGTAAGAATTTACCATGATTTTGTGTCAAATAACTCATGTCAAACTGCTTTGGCACAGATTTGATACATCGGTGTCAAAATTTCTGTCAATTTTTTGGAGTGGGTGCGCGCTTTATTTGCTTTACAATCTCCAAGTTCAATAACATGAGGGTTTGATGTTTACATTTTCTTTACTCACCTTAGCTTCTTGAACAATCCACACCTGCATCATATATTATCGTATATAATTAAGTATATTAGTAACATTTCCATTTTAAAAGTTCAAAAGATTCCGCACTTTCTTTGCCATGCACATACTTGTCATGTAAATTGTTCATTTTTGTCAAGTACATACTCTCTTTTCACTTTAAAAAAAACTTGTAACTCTTGTTGTACGAACTTTAATATTGTGTTGTTTTATTCATTTCTGGGGAATTAGTCCTATTTTATCTTTTTCTAAATATATACCACGTATATACTGTGTATTTGATTTTAATTTATACGTATTATATGAATTAATGAATATAAAGTGAAACATCATTTCATAGATTGATTTATAATAGTTAAAAAAATCCAATATCCGTCTATAGTGTATACGTATATAGTTTCGAACACCTAGCTATATATTGCCACATATGACCGACCAAAACATTTGCAATGAAAATGACCTCAGCTCGTTTTTAGAGATAATGTACTCCAATACTACACGTGATTTCTTTTGGAATGTTTTCAGTACCAAACCGGATCAGACCAAATCAGACTAGACCAAACCAGACTTCCTTAGTTATAAAATACATAGAGACCAGACGTTTACCAAACCAGACTAGACCAGTTCAGACCAGACCAGATCAGATCAGACCAACAAATTTCAGTCCAAAAGAAAACATCCATCCAAATAAATAAGTTTTGTAAACATTATATTCTTTTGTGGCACTAAGGAAAGGGTTTGTATAAGTGTATACAAAATAATAATTGCGGTAAATAGCACTAAATGAAATTTAATTGCACAACTAAAACTAAAGTCTAAATCATTAGGAATAAAACTAAACTTTAATTTTCTACTCTAAATATCCTTTAATTCATAATAAAATGTTTTAATTCATAATAAAATCGTAAGAAAATAATAAAAATCGTAAGAAAAAAAAAATTTAAATATTTATAGAATCTTTTTTTTTTTTGAAAAAAAATAAATATTAAGAAAACATGATAAGGATGTTTTTACTTGGACTGTAATTTGCTGGTCTGGTCTCGTTTCATTTTATTTTTATAACTATCCAAATCTGACTGGTCTGGTCTGGTTTGGGATAGATTACAGTCCAAGTAAAAACATCCTAAAAACACATAAAAAATAACAAGGACGTCTTTTCCACCGCCTCCCAACACTATCACCTCCGATCGCTGAGAAAATGTCATACTGTTTACAAAAACGTCAGTTTTGTGAAAATGCGAAGAATGTGACATTATTATCCTTGATAATGCCAAAAATTTCACAGATATTGCCATCAATATGGCATTACAAATGCATGTTGGCATTTTTCAGTGATCGAAGCTAGTGGTGCTAGAGGAGACGGCAAAGACCTGCATAAGTTTTTACATTTTTTATTTTATTTTATTTTTTAATTTAAAATTTTTATTTTTCTATTTTTTTAATAAATTTTATTAAATACTCCGTATTTATTATAGTCCTAAAAGTTACTGGAATATATGTCCAAACACACATGATTAGTCTTATTTATGATTTTTAGGCATATTTTAGGGCGTGTTTGGCATTCAGCGCTTAGCGGATAGCGGGTTGCCAATAGCGGATTCGGTCAGCTATTGGTAATTTAGCTGTTTGACCATAAAATTAGTAGAAAACGTCAATTTTCAAAACGACATTCCAAAACTCTCCTATTTGCAGCGTTTTCATTTCAGCGTTTCCGTCCAATTCAAAAACGCTAGTGCCGAACCGCTATTTATATTACCCAACAACTGTTTCACTTTTTGAAAACGCTAAAAGTGATCAAACCGTCATTTTTCGGCTCAAACGCCATTTACCAAACACCCTCTATGGGTAATTAACCCAATACTATACTTTCCCGTAAGCATGCACTAAATAAACAACCAGCTGCTTATGCAATCTTAATTATACGTTGTTTGTAACAAAAGGAAATAAGGCTGGTGAAGTGAAGATTCATTTTATTATAAATAAAATACGAATAAATATGACTGATTATATTCTATCCTCTATATATTATGTATTTTATCTCCAAAAATAAATTAACTTAACGATAATATATGAAACAAGAGTAGTTCTGTTTACTTTGGATAAAAATGATACATTTTATCCCATTCCGATATTTTCAAAAAAAGATGGCTACATTTTACTTCACGTGTGTTTTTGGATGCCCACTCAAATGATCGATACCATTAAGTTCGTCTCTGCAGCGCCATTGCGCCATGTTCATACGGAAAGTTGAGATAAAAATTCACTGAATGTGAATTAGTTTTCAGAGGCACTTGCCAATTACGATACCATTGCATATCTAGAAACCCAAGTCCAAATATATATATATATCCATTTTGAAGAAATGTCATTTTCGAGATTATAAGGCCAAGCAATTGTATTTAATTAGTGCAATATTTCAAATGTAGTGACATTAATAGTCACGGCCGGCTTGATAAATTCGGAAACCCGGTAGTCCGGTACAAATGACACAAATTAGCCTTACATTAGATAAAACGGGTTATCATATACCAAGAACCAACCTTAAAATTAAAGAATAATCAACAAAGGAACTACAATCATATGACAGAATTGAAATGAAAACATATCATAACATGTTGAATTCTCACCCCCGATATTTGTGAAAGCATTAAGTGATATATTAAGATGTGGATTACTCCTCTTATCAGGTTGACTTTTTAGGATGGAACCTCAGATCTTAACATAACCTGAAAATTCAGATCAGATAAAAAATGAATAAGTTTACCTTTGACCGGATTACTCGAATAATTGAATACTTGAATGACTTGAATCATTTACCCAACTCAACTAATCAAACAATCGACTATTTTGATTTTATGAAAAATATCACAAATTAAAGAGAATTATGTAGACTTCAAACCCTTGAATATGATCGAGAAGCATGAAGTGGAGAAAGAGAATAACTAACGTGCAAACGTTGAAATGCCAATTTTGACTTTGGGAAAAGAGAGGAGATTTTTATCATTTTTTTTATTTAATTTGGGGTGGAGACTCCATTTTAGCTTTATTTATAAATTAAACAATTACGGTGTACTTTATTCATATATACTAAATACGTAGTCTTTTTCTTAAAAATGGACCTTATATTCTTCGAGGTCCTAGCAAAAGCTAGCAACGTCTGCACAATTGCATTTACGATGGTGATAATAGTAACTGTTGGGTGTGTTTCGGAAAATAAAGAAAAATTAATTAAATTTGATGACTAAAGAAAAACAAGAAAATAGATGGAGCAGAAACTAGTCAAAGATCGTGCTACGCACGATTTCCTTAAAACGTATTCGTTGAATCCCATGGTGCTAGGAGCGTTGCAAGAATCGTTTCCCAAGATACGATGACTAATGAGCAACGTTAATTTCAAACTAATAGTCAAAGATCGTGCTACGCATGATGACTAATGACTTAAACGATTGTTACGGCGAACGTGAACAAAGGTAGAACACAGAAGGAATTTCGGGAACTGGAGGTGTTTTTCAGAGCTCAAAAAGCGTGAGTACGTTTGTGAGTTGTGTCTTGTTGTAAATCACCTGCCAGCTACTTATAGGAGGGATTGGGAGCTGTGTTAATGAAGGTTTAATGGACATAAACGTTGGCAATCAATGTCCAGCACATTGGCATTGATTGTCGTCCAGAAAACCGTACGTATAATTGCAATAAGTCATAAAAACGTTGGGCATTTAGGGAGTGTTTGCAACTGCTTCTGCTTAAATAAAAGCACTTTTGGAGATGTAAGGAAAAAGTGATTAGTAGGAAAAGTTGATAGTGTTTGAGAAAAAAGTGATTTTGAAAAGTAAAAGTTGATAGTGTTTGGTAAAATAAGTGCTTTTTGTGTAATAGAAAGGGGAAAAACACTTTTCACACGCAAGCCGAGAAAAAGTTAAAATTGGTAGTGTTTGGTAAATAAGTGCTTTTTAAAGCCAAAAGCTGAGAAGTGCTTTTTTTTAAGTGATTGCAAACACTCCCTTAATGTGTTGTAACGTCCCAGCAGCAGACTGTTGCGGACGTTCAACATTCATGGAGCAACAGCCTGCTGCGCAGGGAACTGCTGAGCCTACTACGGACGTAGTAGCAGTAGCCTGCTCCAACCTGGAGCAAAAAATAGGAAATTAACGGAGGAACAAAAATTAACATTTATCTTTAGAAGATAGAATTTTCGAACGACATTCGTGTCTGCAGGTCGCCCGCGCACGCAAGTCGTGCTTTTTGTTCTGCAGTTTCAGGATTTGATTCGCATTCCCCCCTGCGCGCGAGAGAGAGCCTTTACCCTAAGCAATCTTAACTCCTTAAGGGGGGTTTCCCTTTATAAAGGAATCAAATTCCCTTGGGTTTTCTGGGGTGAGAAAAACCACACTAGAAACTCATCATTTTCCTAGTTTTCCCCATTCCATCGAGTAAACTTCGAGAATCAATTTCTCATTCACCCGTTATCTGTTTTGAGTGTACCATATATCGAATTGTAGTCCTAAGCAAGGCCAATCCGAAACCACTTTGACCCAACCCAAATCGGAAGTGGACCCACTCAAAATATTGCCCCAAAATGACCATTTAATGCAATTTATTAACACTTTTTCCAACAGTAACTTCATTATAGTAACTTGTGTTTAATTTTTGTATTTGACCATGACCTTTACACAACCTAAATTTAGTCATATTTTTGTAAATAAGTTTATTCTATTAATATTTTAAAAGCATTCTAATGAGCAAAATATCCAATATTCAATATTCATGTACCAAGGCACTTTCTGATATATAGATCCCTCTTTATATTAGTGTCCTTTTATATATGAGCACAGTATATATATGTGTGTATGTCTTGTCCCAATGGAGTCTAATTGGTTACCTCGCTTTCAAACTATTGCCGCAGCCTTTTCTTCTTCCCTTCCAATTCAACTCATCTTCTTACCCATCCCTTTCTCCAGCTTTTCAACACATATATCTACTTCCCTGTTTTCTGTTTTTCAATTATACTCTGTAAGTCGGGTGTTTGTGTATGGATATTGAGCTCTTGAAGTCAGCTTCCGAAGACCAACTGGACATGATGCTTATGATGCACGCCGACAAACTCCCCCCGGAATTCTACTCCGCCGCCGCCGCTTACGACGAAGATCCCAACGAAATGCAGATGATGATGATGAATTTCAGCCCTCACCAGTGCATGGATCATCATAATAACATGCACCCAGCTTCCACCATATCTTTCTCCGGCGCCGGCTCCGACGACGACGACCTCATTTATCATCAAGAATGGCGGGACCCCGTCACCGGAGATAATTACACGGGTGCCCCAAAACGAACGGCGACGTCGATGGCGGCGATGCGGGAGATGATATTCCGGATCGCGGCGATGCAGCCGATCCACATGGACCCCGAGTCCGTGAAGCCCCCGAAGCGAAGGAACGTGAGGATATCGAGCGATCCACAGAGCGTGGCGGCGCGTCACCGGCGGGAGAGGATCAGCGAGAGGATAAGGATTCTGCAGAGACTGGTGCCTGGTGGGACCAAGATGGACACGGCTTCCATGTTGGACGAAGCCATACATTACGTGAAGTTCCTGAAGAATCAGGTGCAGTCCTTGGAACGCGCTGCCGGCGGCGGCCGGTCAAACCGGTCAACTCCAACTGTGGCGGGGTTTCCGGCGACCATGCCTTCTTCTTCGAATTCTATGACTGCCAATTATTTTCCCATCACAGCCAATGATGATATTGTCCATTACCAGCATTATGATTCTCAGTTGACTTATTAATTGTGTTGGAGACCGTACGGAGCAGAGTAAAAAAAAGATGACACATCATCCCTGAGGGCCCCACAACACCGACCGGACGACACAATGGGAGGATGTAAATTGAACTATAATCACAATTTGACAGATAGAGAGTGGGGCTCCGTCCCGGTACTTGCAGAGGCTCTATGCATTTTTAGCATAGTAACCTCTTGGAGATTGAGGTGGGAGAACTTCAAGCACTCAATTAGCATGATTAATCAATTAAATGCTTTACTACAATCCCATCATGATTATACATATACTAAGTCCAAATTTATGGAAAAAAGAAATTACTATGAACGTATGCATCATGTATATTATTGTTGTAACATTAGTCTTTTCTATGTTTATTGATATACAACTTTAAGTACTCCATATGTATTAATATCTTTAATTCTCTATCAATAACAAAAGTTAAAAGATGCAGATTTTAGAAATTTACAATGAGAAAAAGTTAACAAGATCTTATTTTTTTAAAAAAAAATTGAACAGTACAACAAAAATTTATTACGGAGTACTCCCTCCGTTCTTTATTATTAGTCCTTATTTCCTTTTTGGGACGTTTTTTTTATATGTCCTTCTTTCCATTTAAGGAGAGTTTTTACTTTAAATATACCTTTATACCCCAACTTTTATTACCATTACCCCTTTCTCTTTCCTACTTTTTCATTTACCCGCTACTCATTACACCTTTTTACACTACCCCTACTACTTTACTCTTAAAACCCGTGCCAAAGCCTAAGGAGACTAATAAAAAAGAACGGAGGGAGTACTATGCAGTAACGCATTAATACGGCTTACTATACACGGTATATACTACGTATCATATTTTCATACTGCGTACTATCGTATTTTGTTCTAACTAGCTAATCGATTAGCATGAACATATGAAAAATATACTCCCTCCGTCCCATTTAAAGGTTCTCGTACACTATTTTCCAGTCAACATGCATTGCTCTTAATCTTTTACTTTATATATCGAAAGTTTATGAAATTTAAATTATTTTTGCAGGTTTTGTAGCGATTTTAATATAGTTTCTGAATATGTAAATTTTATTTACTAAAAATAATTCTATTAATTACAGCGATCAGTTAACTTTATAGTCAGTCAAACATCGTAAATCGTGTGGGAACCTTAAAATGGGACGGAGGGAGTATAATAAAAGTATAATGTAAAAAATATAACAATAATAAATGATTTTTACTATTTAATATGTGTTGATCGACCAATGACCATACGTATTAATGGGTTTTTTTATTCTATGGGGGGGCTGGGGAAGCCTGGAATAATTTAGGTTGAAACTCACTCCATTGAGATTCGAACCCGAGACCTCCCGTAAGGGACTCGACTCTTGGGAGTATAATTATGTTTAAACGTTACATCCAAGTGACTATACACATTTGTAAATTGTAACAGGGCTGACGGGGTATTCTAATGTTTCGGATCCTGGCGGCTCGCATGTTTCAACAAAACGAGTACTCTACCAATCTTCCAATCTAACATCCGCCATTCACCTGCACTGCTTTACCTAGACCTAAACCACTCGACGGAGTCAAAGTGCGATGACTGTGAACTGCGCATCCTCCTTTCACCTTCGACGCGCAGGCTAGAGAGGAAGACCGAAGAAGGACGTCGACGCAGAGGCTAGAGGCGGCGAATGTCTTTCGTCAACGCAGAGGCCAGAGGCGGGGAACGTCTTCCGTCGACAAGGCTAGGCTATCGTCCGTCTCCTTTCAGCTTCAATACAGATATTCAGGCTCCAGATTGCATATCCCAATTCCAGGTTTTTAAAATTATTAATTTAATTATTCAGTTGTTTTTTCTCAATATATTCAATCAGATTGTTTAATTTTGATTATACGGAGTTATGGACCTTTGAAGTTCTCTGATTTTGATTATACAGAGTTAAACTTAAATTCGAACTTTTTTACTGCTTGAGGCTTTTAGTAGGAAGGTTTGATAATTGATAGTTTGATAGTTATGATTCCTTCAAGTTAGGTAAAATTACTTTTGGAGGCTAATTTCTTTCTATTTGAATTGGGCAGTAGCTTAGAGTCTTAGACCTTCATGTTAATAATTTAATATGGTTATCGATTTATGATGGACAATAGCTTGCAATTATTGGGCAGCATATGCTTTTGTTAAAATTGCAGTTTTTTGTTTGAAAAATCATTGACCCGTTGAGACTGGCTGCTGCACCAGAGAAGAAGTTCAGGCTTTAGCTTGCAGAGATCAAGCATGTCAGGCTTGTAATGGTCGCCTTCTTGGATTTTCTGTTCAAGCTACTGCTACATGTAAAGGCCCACTCGTCATTTGGGCTACCCACTTGAGTGACCTATCAGAAAGATGTTTCGCACTACGACCGTAATTAGGAATATTGATTTTTTTCATATTTCAATATCTATTATATTAGGATTATATTTTGTTCCTATTTGATTTTAGCAGCAGGGATGAGTAGGAGAAGATAAAGCGAGGAAGAAGTGTAAGTGTGCAGCAAAGCAGCAAGTTCTAAGCATGATTCCGTGTTTGTCGATGTGATAATTTCTTATTTGTGTATGCATAGATGCACTTCAATTTTTACTTCTGTCCAGCGCTTGGTGACCCAACTACGTATGTGCTCTTACATCGTGAGTTCTAATGAAACTCATTTAGTGTGAGATCAGTGAGTAAAGGAAACAGAAATGTTCGATCTGAGTGAAATTGAGCATACATTGAGAGTGCCTCCCAGCCTCCTCAATCTCCCACTCAATGAAGCTATAAAGGGCGAGCTTGAGGGTGTTTTCGTAGACATGGTCATTGCAAAATTAGGGCTTTGTATATCTGTGTATGACATTCTCTCCCTTCAAGGTGGTTTTATTTTCCCAGGAGTTCTTAGGCCCTGTTTCATGGTGGGCTGATTAAATTCTTCAGTTTACTAATAAAACTTGTGCAAGGTTCACTTGATTCTAACAAGTGATGGGGTAATGAAACTTCAGTTTTTCAAGTGATCTCTCATCTAAACTCCTACACTTTTTTAGATGGTGATGTAAAGCTACATTGTTTCCTTCACCTCATTCATACTTAAGAGCTAGCTCAAGAAGACAAGAACTATTATGGTGAAAAATTTCAGAGTACAAAAGTTTTTGTATTTTATTAAGCAATACAATATTCTGTACCAAAAAAATATTCCACACTTATTTTTGGGAGCATTATCTTATTTATTTTCTTATACATTATAGTTGATGTTATAGCTCTTTATTGTTTCAGATGTTAAATATAAGGTACAAGCATTAATACCTTCTACTGTATTGAATAGGTTTATTATAGGGTCATTGTGCACCCCCTTCCCCTGATTTGTGCATCTTTACAAATAACAATGGTCTTTGTGAACTAAAATCAGGTTTAATGCATTCACAAGCCTTTGGAAGTAAACTCCAGAGCAAATTAGTGGAAATCATAGATCCCAATTAAGGATTAAGGTATGCACATGCTTCTATGCACTGTTTTCTCAAAATATTCCTATTCTTGATTTCTTTGAGATTTATGGTGAACTATAGTGATAGATTGATATAATTAAGAAGTATTTTCGATCACAGTGACGTAGTCATGTTGATTTTGCTGGTAGAATGAGTCACAAATATATAAAGGGATGATCTTCTGAAAAAAGAGCTTGATGTCAAGTTGTATGCAGCTGAAGGAGAAAATGAATGCATGAAAAGTCGTCCAAAATGCATTAGAAGATGATGTCCAAAAGATTAAGTGATGCTTTAGAGTGAAAGATACAAAAGATCAAGTCCGAGAATCTAGGCATATGTTTTCAACTTGATACACTGACCTATACTTTTGTAGATATATTTTGTAGCTTAGTCATTTGTATGATGTATAATAGTTTGATTATTAATCTGATCATTTGTGACGGTTTAGCCATTTGTATGATGTATAATAGTGTATTTATAAAAATGATGATTAGTTTCATCATTATTTACTTTTAGATGACACTTGAGATTGTCAGCATAAATATTTTATAGGTGACAAAAATAATTGTAGTTAAAATAACTATAAATGATGACATTTTTCTTTGACAATGACATATTACATGTGACGGGCACTTTGTCATGGTGCGTCAAAATAAACCGATACTAACATTTATACGTAGTATAGGTGAAGTAGAGTTCGTATCCACAGGGAAAGGAATAATTCTCTTTTTATAGAACTAGTAAATAAGGGGGGGTTTGATTGAGTGATTTAATATAATTAAACACGAAGATGAACGACTTATATGGGATTAACTTCAAGAATAAAAGGAACTTGGTCTTGCTACTTTCCACTTGTTGATATACTCTAGTCAATCCTTGTTATATCTATAACTTATCCCCTCTCGAATACTCAATCGCGGAGTATCTCCAATTCATCGAGGGTAGTTATTAACAACGACCGTTCATTAATAACCCTTACTATTAATCAAATATAGAACAACGCCGTATACCGATATAATAGTAGCATTTAACCTCTTTAACTCCTTGATGAAATCAATTGAGATTGATAACCTCAACACAACGGTTTCGATTTAACCAACAAAATTAATCCCTCTCAAGTTTATGAACCACGACTGTGCATTAATAAACCGAAGTTACTTGTGAAACCATCAACGATTAACCATCGGTTCGTTGATCGTTTGTAGTAATAACTAATGTTGAAACGTTAACTAATCGTCACTTAGCCACCCTCCAACATTAATATAGAATGAGATTAAGGGAAAAATTAATAATCAAAAGGAGAAAGTAAGAAAATAACTCACAACTTTAATAATCAACAAGCTTCAAGAGCAAAACCAAGAAATGGAAGTTTAGCTCCTCATTTGGAGACTAAACATGCTAGAAAAATATAAAGAAATGCTATTCTAAACTGAGCTTAAGAGTATATAGGAATTGGTATCTCATTGTGAAGGGAAGAGGTTGTATTTATAGGCTTTTTGGGAGTGCAGTTCGGGTACCCGATCAAGTATATATAGCGTACCCGATCGGGTATGTGTAAAAAGTGAAGTTTTGAGGCATACTCGATCGATTTCAGAGTGGAAATGCAAGGCATACCCAATCGGGTGTGTCGGTGTACCCGATGGGGTATGACAACTGATCGTGGCCAAATCTTCCCCTGCACACCCCGTTTTCTCCTGATAGATCTGATTGAAAGTCCAGTTGGTACCCCGGTCGAATATATGGTATACTCGACCGGGTACAGGTCAAAAATCAGGATTTTGCCTCCTTTTTGTCTTGTATTCTTGCACCTTCCTTCACCAATGATCATTTGATTGATCTTGGACCTGTTTAAGCTC